CGATGTCTCGCGACATCAATAAGCGTAACAAGGTAACTACACATCCTCCAGATATTTCTCTAACTTGCGACGATTAAATTACTCCCTAAGCGCGTGTATCTCCTCCCGATATTCCAGCTATTATTATTCATTTGGCTCCAGAGTATAAAGATGAAAGTAAATCTCGGTTCGTCTCATCATCGAGAGAAATGTCGACGAGAAAAAAAAACAAGGGCTCGTTTAAAGTCTTTCAAATCCTCGGTCGGTTTCTGCGCTCACGTTTTCGCGGTTATATCTTCGATCCAATCGTAAGTCGATTAAGCTGAAACACGACTTGACCGTCACGACTTGGTTGTCTTTTTCTCTCCCCTCAAGGCTTGTCCTTCTTCCATTTTTTTTTTCTACTTTTTTTTTCGCAGCCGACCTTCCAATCTCTTTCAACCGCGATGCCCTTGCCTCCGTTAATGAAGTAGGCGCGAATGGACTTCCTACTCTTTCCCTCTCTGTCTGCTTGTCCTCTCAACACCACTCTCTTCTCTTTTTTCTATTCTTTCCCTCGCATCTCCGCTATTCTTTCCATTTCGATCGTCTCGCTCTCAGTTTGTTCTCCTCGGGGTTGGCTCGCAATCGACACCAATTTCTGTCTCGTATGACGTCGATGGATTCGAGTACGTCGTGTTTGAACGAAATAACCTATATTTACGCATACGCACTGGTCTCGTATCTTTCGACTATATCCAGTAACGTTCGGAATTGATCGGAACAGATCGGAACCGATCGTGGCCACTCGTAATCGTCGTATATCGGAAACGTACACACTTTTAATATTCGTGGAGATATTTTTGGGAGATATTTTTGTCTAGAAGAATCTAGAGCTAAAACAAACATTAAAGTTGGTACATAAAAAACGATTAAGGCTTATTTATTAAGTCATGAACAGTTTTAAGGTCGCGTTAGAATGATATTGAAGAATAGTGGGGAATAGCTCGTGGTCATATAACCGGACGAATTCGAGGTTATATATTCGGACACTACTAAACACATGCTATATATACATGCACACGGATAGATGGTACGGATGAAGATGCAGGCAAATATGACCGTGTATGCAAGTAGCATTCGCGCAGACACTTGAGTCCAGCGTAAATATCCGTTACACATATGTATGTGGATGGAGAACAAACAGATACAGAGTTGTGGAGTTAGGGGGGTGTATCCACGGATGCGACGCATCATTTTTCAGTTGGAAAATGCGAATTCAGCCGCGGCCTGAAAATTCACATCGAGGCCTCATAATGCATCCGACTGCTATCACCGACGAGCTGACAACTATTCCGATTTCACTCTTTCTTTCTCTTCCTCTTTATTCTTCTCTTGCGTTCGCTGATTCTTCTTTTTTTTTTTCATCGTCTAGCCAATCTTGCCTCCTGCGTTCCTATCCTCGTTTCTACGATCCCTTGCTGCGGTTAGAAAAGTACTTAGAGATATAGGAAGCGTGTTTAAAAATTGATGCCTATAGTTGCTCTCGATTGCAGTAATCAAACGATGCCGCAAGTTTAAATGAAGGTAACTCGATTTTCTTCCTGTGTTGCGTAATCAACGGCGGTATACTGCAATTGTAATTATGTTCTTATATTTGTTTGCGTTGTAGAAGGAAAATCTTTTAATCTTTTTTGTAGTGATAACATTGAATTGAAAGTTTTGTTTAAAGTTTTGTCCAAATTTTATAAAATAATTAATATTGTTTTGTATAATTTTTGAGAAAATTTAAGATAGATTAAATGACTTTAAGGATTGATATAATTAAATTTAAATATATTAGATTATTTGATATTTCGTATAATATTATATTATATATTATACTTAAACCGTGTAATTCTACGTCTTTGATATTTATTAAGGAATTATATAAATTCCAGCTTCTTGTTCTCATTATACATTGTATGTTTCTGACTTATACAAGATATAATAGTTTGAAAATATATGGCTGTTACTGTTGGTCGTTGGCTTATAGCGTCGTTCTTTATTCAATAATTATTCGTGCAGCTTCGCGTGTTGGAAAAACTAAGGACTATATTTTTAGTACAAATCATATTTATCGATTTTTACTGTTACAAACATCGTACCCCGGATTCGAGATACAAGATGTTCGACGATTGCAACTTTATTAATAAAACAGTAAAATTAAACGGTTTCTCGTTTGTACATGGCACCATTTTCGAATTTGAAATCTAATCCTGTTATTGACAAAAACTGTATCTAATATAGAGTTTCTTTCGTGAAAAAAAGGAAATATATTCTGGACAATAAAATTTCAATGCATTATGCCAGGTATCTTAAAATTCATAGAAATAGAATTTCAAGTTTTTAAATAAATTCATGTTAAATTTTTCATATGCAAAATACTAAGAAATATTATTTGCATAATTCATACCTTTTTTTGAAACGGGTGTAATAAAAAGTATTTTAAAATTTTAATAAATAACAAGTGAAATTTTTTCGTTTAAGTTGAAATTGGATATACATATATATACATATATTAAAATTGAGAAATAGTTCACGAACTTTTAAGCTTCAAACGAACAAATTTTATTCATTTTCTATACACTTTATATATTCTTATATAATAAGAAAAAAATTTCATATAAAAAAAAACTCATCAAGTTAAATATAAAATACATTAATATTCAGTATGGAAATGATTATTGCTTATACATATTATTGCTTATTCCTATAATATTATTATTGGATCGATCTTTTTAACATATTAAACCATTGTATCTAATTTGATTCTAATATTTGTATACAATGTTCATAAACATAAACATAAAATTTATGCAATTTTCTTAATATCCAAATATTTTTTCTACCTTAATCTAAATATTATTTAATTTATCGCTTTTTTCTAAAAAAAAAAACTATAAACACATTACACGTGTAAATTTATTTTTCCATTAACTCCAACAAGTGTTTGACATTATAAAATAATCGATATTTAATAACACATGAAAAATTATAGCTTAATAAAACTAAAAAAAAACCATATAAAGCAATAAAATGATATTAATGCAAACACAAACGAATTCATCGAGAATTATTTCCCAACAGTAGATGATAATTTTATCATCAGTCGGTTCCGGTTTATCCTTCGTCTTATTCCAACGCAGCGGAAGGTAAAATGTGACGTGTTCCCGCCGTATGGACAAAGGTATCTCATTCATATCTGGTAACAGGCGATCATTGTTTCTACGAACGGGCTATTCGGGCTCTTTTCCGTTGCTGCGATAACTCGGCGGCGTTGCGTCGAATTTGTTTCGCTCAATTACCCGTGGCTGTGCTCCCTTGACGCTGTGCCAACCTTTCTGTTTTAATTTCGTCGCGGTGCGCCGCGCTTCTCCGACAGGGAGCTTCCCTCTTTATGAAACATTGCGCGCGTGTGTGCAGACTGTCTCTGTGAAAAAAAAAATTAATCCTTCGGGATCTTATTATTTTTGATTTCAAAGCAACTATCGCCGTTTTTGTCGTTGCGTTTAGCTAATTCATGTTTCTGTGATTTCGAGCCGGTATAATTTTTTGAAATTGACGTTCCAATTGTTGGTATTGAGGTTAGGATACCGCGTTTGTAGAATTGTTGTCGGGTTGTTGTTATATCATTGTTTATTTTAGATCAAGATTCTGTAATAGTTCAAGAGTAAATGAAATTTTTCGAAATTGACTTTCAACTATTGATATTGAGGATAAAGTTATGTTTCGACTTTTGATATTAGGATTATCGCGTTTGTAGAGCTGTCGAAGTATTGTTGTATCATCGTTTGTTTTAGATCAAGTTTCTGTGATTTCGAGAGCGAATAAAATTTTTTGAAATTGATGTTTCATCTTTTGGTATTAAGGTTAGGATATCGTGGTTATAGAATTGTTTGTTGAGTGTTGTCACTTTTTGATATTAGGCTAGTAAATATTGAGGCTAGTTATTATTATCATCATTTTTTACCTTAGCTCAAGCTTTTATGATTGTAAGTATCTACAATTTTTTTTTTAAATTAATGTTCTTGCTTTTGATATTTAAATTAGGACATCTATGGTTATAAAATTGATTGAGATGATTTTGCAAATTCGTATCTTATAAATAGAATTATAGAAATGAAAGTTAAGAAATGATTGTGGCTCTATTTTAGAAAGTATAGATTTGCAAATTGCTTTTAAGATATATTTTTTTAATTTTAATTCAAAGTTTCTTTTACTATACTTAAATTCTTGCACTTAAGTAAAAGTTATGTTTAAAATTGTGTTGTATGTTTCTTCAAATTAAAGATTTTGTCAATAACTTGTCACTAAACTAACCTAATCTCTTTAACGTTTTAGAGATTTAGATTTAGTTGTTATAAAGAAAAGTAGAATTAATAACTTAATAACTTAATCAACATAATTTTAAAATTAATCTTTTTGATGTGAAATCTATTGCTATATCTAAAACGGTTCAATATTGTAACTAGGTCTCCTCACAACACATTGAATGTAGACAGTAGAATTGATTTGAATTTCTTTTTATTCAACTCAACTTCTCTTTTATTTAAAGACTTCAGTCTATTAATCAAGAGTTAGGTTTAGAAAATTCATACCATTCAATACAAAGACTAGAAGAATTGCATTAAAATAGAAAAAAGAGAATATCGAGTTTCCTTTGCAAATGTAAAAAAGAATTTGGTAATTTTCAATTCTATGATTTCAATAATTACGTTTCATTTTCTTTTTCTTTTAGCTTTTATATTAAAAATCGCATTTTTATTATTTAAAGAATATCAAAGATTACTAGAAATTATTTTCTTTATCGTATTTATAGAAAAGAAAAATAGAATATTTTGAATTTTGTATGAAATTCGTTTTAACGTATTTTGAATTTATTGCACACTATCTTTTTAAACCGTTAATATGAGAAATTATAGATTACAATTTATCTAAATTTCCAAATAATTTTCAGAAATGATCGTGATGTTTAATTAAAATATCATATCCCTACAAGAAACAAAAAATTAAACCTCTAAAGAAGATAAGTGAACGACGTTATCAAAATTAGAATTAACCCAATCATTTAGTAACAATTACTAAAATTTATTTTCAACAATTTCTTTGGATTCACTCGTAGAAAGGGTAGATTCGATAAACGGTGATAGAAACGAGAATCCTCCAGCGAGGCGGAAACGAAGTTGCCGGTAATTGTACGAAACGTAGCAGGCGATTCTCACGCAACAATTATCGTGTATTTCTCTCGTGTGCATCGAGTTTTCACCAAGCGGATCACGGTCAATTCGTTTCCATATTTCTTTCGCATGCCTGTAAGGGAAGATCGTGCCATTCCATTTTATTACACCTGTTAATGGCCTTCTCGAGCGATACTGCAAACATTGAAATAAGTGAAACAAGGTAATTAAGAAACTTTCCGCTAAATTTCCTTGTCGTGCCACCAAGAATATCGAAAATCGTTGAGAATGGATGTTACCGCCTGAATAAATAAAACGTATCGATAAATAAAAATATAAAGTAACGTTTTAAATTCGAAACGAAAGGATGTATTGGGTAGAATAAATCGAAAGGGCAAAATGTTGAATTTCTCAAATATATTGTTATATATGTTTAAATCTAGGTTTTTTTAAAGATAAATTACGATGTTGATACGATGGTTTCAAAAAATTAGATTCAAAATGTAATTAAGAGATTTACAATTTTTCATAATATTACTGAAACCAAAATTCAAAAATTCAATACCATTATCTTATAGATATATGGAAATTTAAAGTATATAGTGTTCTTTTAATTTTTAGTATATTTAAAATATAATTTATATTGAAAATATTTGTTATACACTAAAAAAATAGTTTCAATTTTATCGAATATGATATTTCTTCGTTTACGAACAACAACTTAACCTCAAATCAAAGAACTTAATTTTTTTTATATCAATAATGTATACAAATCTTCCTATACAAAAAAAAACTTTAAAACTTCATTCGAATTCACTTTTCCTATAAAAAGCTTCTTTTTCTTGCACTTTTGTCATTGTAACGATATCTGAACAACACATCATCCTCAAACGATTCGAGGCCTCTTGAACATCTCCGACGAGGCGCCATCGAGAGCCATTCTGCGCGCGAGTTCAATTTACGAATTGCTTCCTTTTTCAGTCACGTGTCGTCCACTTCGCGGTTCAACATGTGGAAACGAAATTCGTATTGATTAATCTCCTCGAAACGGTCGCCGTAAAAAGTCGTTCGTATCGTAGTCGTTTCATCAAGATAACGATCAATTCCCTATCTCCACGATCTCCAAGTAACGTTCTATAAAAAATAATTTTACATCGTGATTTAATTTAATTAATTTAATTTTGGGAAAAAAGAAATGTACATTCACGTTTATAACACTCACTTGATTAGATACTTAACGGTAAATGAATGTTATAAATGGTATAATATATTGATATTAATCAATTTAATGTTTTAAGACATTAAATGCCAGTGATGCAATATGTGCATCATAGAAATTTTATATTCTATTCTATAGTGTGTTGCGTCATGAAATTTTAAAGAAAAATATGGGATATTGTAATATTATAAGTACTTTCAAATTTTATAAGATTGTAGAGATTTGGACGATTTAGAATAAAATAAATGATCGTTATGAAAATCTATTATATCTATAATATTTAAAATTTTATAATTACCATATTAAACATAGCCAAGCTGATAAGATTATGTTTAAAATTGATAGGTATTTATAGACGAATATTACTTATAGACGAGAATATATATTTATTTATATTTTAAATTTGTAGATATAGATACATATCATTGGTATTATAAAATTATTCGAGAAATTATTTTTAAAAAAAATATTTTACTCGTCAATTTTTTAATCTTAAAAATTGAAATTTTTTTTTAAACAAGTTTCTCACTTACATTTCTCTTTTAACGCGTCGAACGCGTAAGAATGGCATGGTGGAACGAGTTTTTATAACTTTCATACGCAAGATGGCTTCCTTATGGATTCTGTTTACGGAGTTGTTCGAACCGTTTAAAAGTTTACCGTTCACGAGACGACATTCTTGCTTGCGTTACATCGATGCGTCTACTCGTATAGCAGCGTGGGAAGCTCGCTGTGATTGAGGGATCATTGGGGAGGTTATCTGGATATTCTCAGAAGTGTTCTCTTCCAACTTGTTTTATGGGATTTAAAAGATGAGAGGTGGCTTCTTCGTGCTTCCTAGATTTTTCTGCTCATTATATGATTTTGAATAATATAAAATATCATTAGATTTATTGTTTCATATATATGCAATGAGATATGTGAAATTTAATAATTAATATTTTTAAATATTAAATATATGTTAAGAAAAATGTAAGATGTTTTTGACAAATCAAATCTATGTGTTAGAATGCAAAGATACATTTGAGAGTAAAATTCTGTTATTTTTGAGAATATTTTTTATAAGTCGAAATTACGTTGAGAATAATTTTCATTCTCAATGGAATGTGGCGAAAAATAATTCTTAAAAGTAATTTTTCATAGCTTTATTCTCAGATATATTTATATTTTTAAGATAATAAAAATTTAATATATCAAAAGATTTTGTCCTATACTTTATGTATACAATAACCTTTTCGGTACGATTGTCGACTTTAGTCGACAAACACCGAATAAATACGACCGATCCCCGACTTTAGTCGACAATCGCCGAATACAGACGACCGATCGTTTCAGTGCGCAGTATACTCTGGTAAGCGTCGCGTCGCGTCGCGTCGAAAAGATTAAGGTTAATTAATTAATTTGAAATCGTGACAAATAATTTTTTTTAATTATTTTATAATAAAATATTAATTACAAAAAAAGTATACTTTATTAGAAGAAACTATTTTTCATTAAAAGCATAAACGTATATTACGTTCTCAATTTTTCATATATCAGTCTTCGCTTGAAAGTATTGTATTATTTCTACTTATATTTCTAATTCCATTATGGTTAAAAAAACTTCGAATTCTTCTTTTTCCTTCTTTTCATTATTTTTCCGCGATATAAACAAAGATATTCATATTGTTGCCAATTTCTAAAATAAATACATATGTATCGCGATCCAGAGGGATGGTCGAAGAATGTCGAAACGAAATTACGATTTCACGTGTGACGATGAAACTATTTTATTTCTTCTCTACGAGGTTACGTAGCCAGTGAATTTGCTGACATTCGACAGTCGTAAAGTTTTTACACGAAATAGCGTAAATTTAGTAAATTTAGGAGAGAAAGACTATTTTTGAGAATATTATACGAATTGATACGTCGAAAAAGATTAAATATTGTGAATATAATTGATTTCAGTACAACAACAAAATAGAGGTATAGTAAAATTCGATATAAATCGAGTGGAAATATTTTTCCTGATAATTTATTATTCGTTTTGAATTTTTTATCATTTTCACCTTTTTTTCTTTTTTTCATTTTTTTAGAGATGTTAGAAAATAATTTTGTTTTTTTCTTAATAATTTTTATTATTAATATTATTGAAATGTCTCACGGATGATGATACATGAAAAGATAATCAAAAATATAGAATAAAATTTTTTTTACTTGAGATTTCAAATACAATATTTTTATTAATTAGATATAATATATCTTAGATTTTTATTTTCATATCTGTATCTAAATGTGAACATTTATCGATAATTGATACAAATTTAATGAAATTAAATGAAGAAATTTTATTTTATTATTTTTTTCACCTTGTATCAGCATCTTTGGTATACTCTGTATACAAAAAAATTAATCGTTTAGAAAATTTTTTGCAAATTCTCGTATTTTTATAAACATTCCTCTACGAATTTTATTTAATATGTACGATTGTGAGGATTTTTTTAAAATTTGAGAGCGACTTGCGATAGATTTTACTCTTAAATAGACATGTAAAAATTTTTTTACGCGTGGAACCGTTAAAAAAATAACAAAATATTAAATTTTCAACAACGAATAAAGTTATCAGAAGCATCGAAAAAATTATTCTCTATTTTACAGGCAAATTAATCTATAGCTCATTATAATTTCATTTCGTGATTTGTTCAAATTGGTAAAATGTTTTGTTGGACAGGGGAGAGGAGATTAACGCAGGATACACAAATCAAGAAAAGAATCACGCGCCAAGACTCTTTCCAATTTACGCGGATTCGTTCGGCGGCTTTAATGCAATCATACTTTCGAACGTGCAAGTTTAACTTCTTGCGAAGTTAATTTTCTCCGGTTGCACGTCGTTGATTCCGGGAAGAATCGAATAAATGTACAAGATGAATGCGGAAAGAGGGGACTTAGACGGACAAGTGTGGAATTTTTATTCGTTTCTGTATTTATTTTATCGATTTTCCTTCATTGATTAAAAGCTACTTGTATTTTTTTTTTTAAATAGAACGAACATAAAGTTCGATAAGCGATTTATTTAAATTCCTTACAAATTGATATTTGTTTTGATTATTAACGAATTATTAAAAGAAGGTTTTATTTTTATTTTCGATTATTAATACGATATTTTTTTATAATAAAAATCATCGAGCCTTCTTTATCTTTATGATATATTTATGGTTCATCGTAATGGTTGATAAAAATATTAAATATTTATTAATATTTTACACTTGTTGCCACAGATTTCTAATATTTTCTATTTATTTTAATATTCTTCGGATCTCATGATTTATTTTTATATATATATAAAAATAAAATGTTATACTTATTTTATACCATAGAAATAAATAAATAAAAAAGCTCAATTAGAATTCGGATAATCAAATATTATTTAAAATTTCATATACAGCACAAGTGAACCAATGAAAAATTATATTTTGAACAATTACATAAAAAAAAAAAAATCATATAGCAATTTTTACAATCTTGAATTCTATTTTTTTTTAAATTTTTCTACATCGTATAGCAAATAAAAAAAATAAAAATATCTTTTTTTTTCCATCTAAAAACATTGAATAATTTTTTCACGACTGAAATATATAACAAACTCGAAGATTAAACTCTCCCCAAAACTTGCTGCGTGATTTTATTTTATTCTATTCTAAATTCTTAAATTTTTGAATATTAGAATCAGACGACGAAGATTAAAAAAAAAAATTAAATCAAAGTTCATGAAATTTCATATAAATAGAATTCCACTGTATTTATCGAATGGTCAAATTTCTGATATTTCAATGCAAGTGAATCTGAAATGGACAGATTTCGAGAAAAGAAAATTTGCAGAGATTACGAATATACGAAAAGAATTCGTGACACTTGCAGATGTCATCCGCGTGGTCCAGCCACGGAGATGATAAGTGGGCGCGAGGAGGGAAGAATGAAAAATTTCATTTTAAAGTGTGCCAGGACCAAGCCATTCCTGTAAATTAAACTTTAATCAAAAATTCCCTTGAGCGTTCACTCCAACGTGTTACGATTCTGCGGTGAATCGTGCTTTCTCTCAACCTTCCGCGAATCGTCACGGAAAAAACTATCCTCTTGCAACTTACGAAACAATGTTATTAAATGAAATTTTGTTACTTTTCGTAATAAGAATGGCTCGCAATTAATTTGTCTGTGCAGTGTTTGTTGTTCGAAACATTTTAGAGAGAATTTTATGCGATTTGGACTTTTTATTTAATTTTTATTTGAAACCTAGATAAAGCATTTTTTTTTTTTAAAGATATTTCAAGATACTTTCAAATTTTGGATGATTTATTATTGTTAGTTTTGTTTAGAAATCTTAATGGAATATTTTTTCAACTTAATAATTGAAGATAATATGAAGAAGAGATATAATTCAATTTTCAATCTTTAATTTTCTAATTTTCAAAAATTTATGAAAATCCAAATAGATCATTTAAAATTAAACATTCAAAATATATTCAAAATACTTCAGTGAAATCAATATCGAAGAATTTTATTAAATATTTTTCAATATTAAAATAATTTTACAGGAAAAAAGAAAAAGAAATTACTGCAAAATATATATAATAAATATATTTAAAATTTAAAATTGCATAAATTGAATTTTATCATATAATTTATCTTTAACAGATAATTGAAAAATATTGAATTAATCGGTGGTAATTTTTAATATTCAACTAGAAAATCAATTCAATTTTCCATTTTAGAAAAATATAAACCTGTTGAACATACGTGTCTATATGAGAAAGAATAAATAAAAGTACGATTAATGTCTGTGATATAAATGTTAATATCTCAAATCAGCATGTTCTAATACGATTCTTTTAAAAGTTATTATTCGATTTCATTCCACGATTGCGGGTATAAAGGCATTTACAATTATCAGAAACCACAATAATAAAAAAAAAAAAACATTAACGTTTATTACTTTGACCTAAATAAATGCGAATGTTCCTCGATTATATTTGAATCTAGCTAAATCGTTTTCATTTAGCGTTGAAATT